TGTAGGTAGAGGGGGAGTAACGCCCACCGTGTGCACGTCCTGATCCCCGGAACCTGCGAATACGTTGCCTCCCTTGGCAAGAGAAAGGGAACTAGAGACGGAAGATGGTCCTGGGTCCCCTGCGTCAGAGTCAGAGAGAAGCGAGAGGACTGACTGCCTGCCCTGCTGGCTGTGAGGACGCAGGCCTGTGAAATGGTGACTCCGTGCTGCTTAGGGCCCTGGGCCTGCGGTCACTCGCTGGTGCCTCCCCGGGAAGCCCCTGGGGACGGGGTCGTGGGGATGCACACGGCCCCCAGCGTGGGCTGTCGGGTTCACGGCCAGCCTGGGGCGCTGGCCGGCTGGGTGACTGTGAGCCACGCACCTCCTGCCTTGGGCCTGGGTTCCCTCATTTTGTGAAGTGGTGACAGAAAGCAGCACCTGCCTACAGGCTTCTCTGCGGAGTAAATGCGTTATTCCCGGCAAAGTGCTCGGAGCAGAGCCTGGTCCCTGGTGAGCTCTGGGTGGGCGGTGGCCGCTTTTATACCTGCTCTTACCCTCCTTACCCACGGCCTCCTGCGCATCCAGACCCCCCTGTCTCCCTCTCATCACCCTGACCGCCGATCCACGACTGACCGTCCTCGGCGGAGACGTGGGCTGGTGCCCTCCCTACCAGGTGTGTCTTTGGCTTCCAGGTGCTGCCCAGGATCCACAGCTGGCTCGGGGGCTCCCGGGGCTCCCCCCGCCCCTGGTGCTCCAGCCTCTGCTTCCAACCTGCAAAGCTTGCTTTCTCCTCCCTCTCCCTTCACTGGGCGCTCAGGAGCCCCTGTGGCCACACCCAGCCTCGGCGCCCGTCGTGTGCTCTGCGGCCCAGCTCTTGCCGGGACCCCGTGTCTGTAACGACCTGCCTGACGCCTGTCCCCCACCCCAAGGAAACCCCCGAGATCGCAGGCCGTGTCTGCGCCCCCAGCTGGACCTGAGCTCAGGTGGTCAGTGGATGCCGCCTGCCCCCTCCTTGTCAGCGAGCAGGGAGGGGCCCCTCACTTGCTCGAGGGGAGCCGTGGGCCTGGGTGCTGTCTCCCTGGCTGCGGGGCTGTCCCTTCCTGGGGGCAGGCGTGCCCAGCGAGCAGGAGACCCGGAGTCTCTGGGCGGAAAGGGACGGCCCCGCCTTCCTGGCTCCGCAGCATCCACACGGCAGCCGCAGGGGCAGGTCTGAGGAGCTCCGTCCCTCCCGCAGCTGCAGAAGCTGGGGGTGGGGAAGGCGCTCGGGACGTCAGTGGCCTGGGGAGGGGGCGGCGGCGTTCCGTGTGGGTGTCGCACGTTCTCAGTCTGCCAGAAGCTCCATGTCCTGACGAGGAGAGGCAGTTCTGACGTCTGCCTGAGGGGCTGCTGACGGGCTGCGGCTCCCGGGGGCGGGGGGTGGGGGAGGCTGCCTCGGAGACCAGACTCGAGGTTGCAGCTGGTCAGCGATGGGCAAGAATGACCCTCCCCGCACAGCAAGAGGACCCTGAGGCGGTCGGTCCTGTGTGGGTTGTCCTACCGCCCCGGGCCTGTTGCAGGTGCTTCTCTGTGATTTGTGCTTCGGTGCTCTTTGTGCCCTGAGGACACACACGTGGTGACGGGTCAGCTTCCCCGCCTGCCCGGGGCCAAGGCACCAGCAGCTCCTGAGGGCTCTGCGCAAGGCTGCCTGGCTCCCTGTTCCAACGGGGTCCCTGTCCTGCCCTTGAGGGAGGCCTCCAGGAGGGGAGGACACCCTAGCTCCCTCAGCTTTGAGATACCCCTGGGTGTCCCCATCTGGGTTAGTTTCCTGGAGCTGCTGTAACAAACCGGGTGGCTCAGAGCAGCAGGCAGTGCCTGCTCAGCATTCTGGAGGCCAGAGGTCCAAAATCAAGCTGTCGGTGGGCTGGCTTCTTATGGGGCTGATGGAGACCCCACCCAGGCCCCTCCAGCATCTGCTGGCCGCCAGCACCCTACCTCCTTGGCTTGCAGACGTGTCGCCCTCGTGTCTGCTCGTCACCTTCTCAACTCTGGCGTCTCCGTTCTTCTTTTCTGTCTCGTGGGATAATCTCATCTCAGGATCCTTGCCTCATATTTACCCCTGCAAAGACCCCGATTCCAAATAAGGTCACCTTCACAGGCACGAGGGCTATGACTCATGCACACCTTTGGGGGTCAGAGTTCAGCTCGCCACCCAGTACCCTGAGCAGAAAGATGGGATGCCACCTGGGGAGGGCAGGGGCGGCATGAGCCAGTGTGTGGTGAGGGGACTCGGGGGACGATGCCCCTGGCAGGCTGGGTCTACGGGCTTCCCTAAGGATAGCCCAGCATCATCTTGCAGCCCAGAGCCCGCTGCTTGGCCCTCACCCAGCTCACCGTGCACCTGACACTTGACAGGAACCTCCTGCAAGGGGGCCATCCCTCCATCGTCTCGCAGAGTAGACCCGTGAAGCTTTGCGCGCCTCGTGTCAGGCAGGAGAGGCAGTGCTTTACATCCTGGCACCCTCTAGCTGCCCCCCTGTCCACTGCCAAAGGACCAATTTTCTTTAGCTTTCGGGGACACGGTTTCTAAGTAAGCTGACGTGTTGTAGCATGAAAGGTTTTGTCTGGATTTTCTCGGCCAAACACAGGAGGAACGAATCTGAGTCCTGAGAATGAAGGCCGGCCACCCCACTGCCTCTTTCCGTGATGGACAAGGCACCACACTGTCCGAGCCAGACGCGGGCTGATCGGTTTCCTGAGCTGCTGCGGGAGGGACGGGGGTCGCTGGTTGCCAGGCCCCTTCTGGGTTGAAGGATGGCTACTAAACCCGGGCAGCGGAACCCTGGCCCGTGGAGGCCACAGAGTCAGGCAGCCAAGGGGGCCAGACGCCCAGACTCCACTGCGGCTGCTCCCTGCCCCTGGAGCCTGTGTCCACTCACTGTCTCCTCTTGTCTGTTTCCAGGACGCCTCGGCTGGATGCACCCCAGCGGCTGAACAGCAGGGCACGGCTCCCAAAGTCCAGCTGCCCCTCAACGTGTGAGCTGCCGTTTATGTTTTTGGGGTCCTAGCCTTCAGCGCCTCCCCCCCACCCCCGCCACCGCTAACGTGTCCACGTGGGGTTTTCTAGCGTGTCACCTGCTTGGTTCTGTGCAGCTCACAGGACTGCTGGCGGGGCCGCCTGGCCAGCAGGCTGGTGGGTTCAACATCACTGCCCCCCGGCATCCGGTACAAGCCGGGGGTGGGGGTGGGGTCCAGATATTTGATGACACTTTCACTTGCTACCCAAGAAAGGGCCCCAGAGGCCCCTGAGGAGGTGGGCCCCGCGGGGCAGAGGGCAGCCAGAGTAGCCGACGTCACCAACTGCCCAGATGCAGCTCTGTGCCCACTGCCATCCAGTGCACAGCAGCTGCATGTCATCCCCAAATCCATCCAGATGAACCGTTGCTGGGAAGTGAGATGCTTGTCTGTTTAGAGAATCTGCTCTTGTTAAATGACAGCTCCTAAAAGATGTGCCGTTTAAAATCGCCATTTAAAGGGTGTTCCAAAGAATCACATTGCTGGCTGCTCTGTTATTTGGCAGTGAGTTCAGTTACTTGAATGACCGTTTAAGGTGGAGAATATGAATTTGGAAACAATGTGGCAAGGTAGGAAGTTCCCAAGGTCCAGTGTGGCCAGAGGGACACTTAGAACCTGTGTAGTGGCAGAACAAAATGGATCTCAAGCGAACGATGCCTTTGAACATGCAGTTTGCCAGTCTTCAGAAGGATTCCTAGAAGGCGGTTACATCCGCTGGTACAGGTTCACCTGCTTCGAGCCCAGGCCAGACGCTTACCTCTATCTGGCAGCAGACAGGCGTCCCTGAACATCCTGCTGTGACTGGGTGATTGCCGAAACCAACTAAGCCAAGGACATTGGGGCCTACCTATCTTTGCATAGCTTCCGGAGGGGACGTAGGTTAGTAAGTGGTGTCTCGATGTCTTTAGGCAGAAATTCAGGCCTCGCCAACACTGGACAGAGGGCACCGTCTTCCAACTAGGTCTCCGGATGAGTTCCAGCGGCCTTCACTCAAACCTGAGGATGGGGCACCCGGGGAGGGATGGGCAGGGGTCTTGGTCATGAGAACTGGGTGCAGGACTCTTTACCTGAGGAAGCAGGCCTGGTCCATGGGAGACGGTGAGGCCTTACTGTAGTTCCCCAAGTGCAAGGCGGGACAGGAGAGCTCGTGAAGCACGAGGCCAGGGTGTTTCATCTTGGCGTCCGCAGCAAGGTGCCTGGCACGCAGGCTCTCAGTAATTCTTACTTGTTCAGAGAGAGCCGGATCCTCCCCTCCTGGGCGCCAAGGGTCCTGGCAGCAGCGCAGAGCCCCTGCTCTTGTACACCAGGTCAGCCACCCAAGGAGGCCACTCTGCCTTGGAGACCCAGTTCCAGGAGTATCACTCCCTGAGAGTCATCAGCACATGCTGGAGGCCTCAGCCACATACAGACCTTCCACATCACGGAGGGATTTTAAGTTTGGTGCAGAGTTTGCAGGGACTTCTTTCTCCCCCTGCCCCCGCTCTGCCCTGGGGCATGAGGGGGTCAGTGTGGTCCCCAGCCCCCTGCCAACTCCCTCTGCCTCACCCCCAGAGCATGGTGTCCCTGTTTGGGTGGAGATTTTCATTTGGGTAACAGAAGGGAGTCAGATACATCTTTCAGAGGGTGACAAGCCTTTTGGCAGGAATGTGTCTGCTGGTCATGGTGGTCATACATGGACCGTGTGGCCAGCACGAGCGTACTGGACTACTGCAAGTTAATGCATGCATTCTGTGGCTGTATGGTTTGAAATCAGAGACACCATACCTCCAGCTTTGCTCTTCCTTCTCAGGATTGCTTTGGCTATTCGATGTCTTTTGAGATTCCGTGCAAATTTTAGGATTATTTGTTGTAGTTCTATGCAAAATGCCATTGCAATTTTGATAAGGGTTGCACTGACTCTGTAGACTGCCTGGAGAATATGGACATTTTAACAACACTAATTCTTCTGATCCATGAGCACAAAGTATCTTTTCCATTTTTTGTGTCTTCAGTTTCTTTCATCAACGTCTTATAGGTTCCACTGTTTTCACCTCCTTGGTTAAATTTATTCCTAGATATTTTATTCTTTTTGACGCAGTTGTAAATGGGATTGTTCTCTTCATTTTTCTTTTGGATAGTTTGTTGCTAGATTTCTGTATATTAATTTCATATGCTGCAACTTTATAAAATTCATTGCTGACTTCTAGCAGTTTTTTGGTGGTATCTTCAGGATTTTCTATGTATAATATCATGTCATCTGCAAACAGTGGCAGTTTTACTTCTGCCTTTCCAGTGTGAATTCTTTTTCTTTTTCTTGTCCGATTGCTGTGACTAGGACTTCCAGTATTATTTTATTTTTTAGAATTGGGGTATAGTTGCTTTACAATGTTGTGTTAGTTTCTGCTATACAGTGAAGTTATTCAGCTTTATGTATACATGTATCCTCTCCCTCTTAGACCTCCCTGCCACCCCCCGCCCCTGCCATCCCACCCATCTAAGTCACCACAGAGCACCAAGCTGAGCTCCCTGCGCTATACAGCAGGTTCCCACCAGCTCTCTGTTTTACACATGGCAGTGCACATATGTCAGCCCCAATCTCCCAGTTCATCCCACCACCCCTCCCTGTGTCCACACGTCCGTTCTCTGTGTCTTCCAGTATTATGTTGGATAAAAGTGGCAAGAGTGGACATCCTTGTCTTGTTCCTGATCTTGGAGGAATTGCTTTCAGCTTTTCACTGTGGCGAATGATGTTAGACGTGGGCTTATCATATATGGCTCTTACTATGTTGAGATATGTTCCCTCTGTATCCACTTTGTTGATAGTTTTTTATCGTAAGGGGATGTTGAATTTTGTCAAACGTTTTTTCAGTATCTATTGAGATGATCATGTGGTTTTTATTCTTCATCTTGTTAATATGGTGGATCACATTGGTTGATTTGCAGATGTTAAACCATCCTTGCATCCCTGGAGTAAATCTGCTTGGTCACAGTGTATGATCCTTTTAATGTATCAATATTTTTGAATTCGATTTGCTAATATTTTGTTCAAGATTTTTGCATCTATGTTTGTCAAGGATATTGGCCTGTAATTTTCTATTTTTGTGGTGTCTTTATCTGGATTCGTTATCAGAGTAATGTTGACCTTGTGAAATGAGTTTGGTTACCCTCCTCTTTAATTTTTTGGAAGAGTTTGAAAAGGATGGGTATTAAATCTTCTTTGAATATTTTATGGAATTCATCAGTGAAGCCCTCTGGTCCTGGACTTTCGTTTCTTGGGAGAATTTTGATTACTAATTTATTCTCCTTACTAGTCATCAGTCTATTCAGATTTTCTATTTCTTCATGATTCAGTCTTGGAAGATTATACGTTTTTAGAAATTTTTCCATTTCTTCCAGGTTGTTGTTGGCGTATAATTGTTCTCAGCAGTCTCTTATGATCCTTTCTGTTTCTTTGGTGTCAGTTGTAACGTCTTTTTTCATTTCTGAGTTTATTGGTTTGGGCCAGTTCTCTTTTTTTCGTGATAAGCCTAGTTAAAAGTTTGAGAATTTTGTTTATCTTTTCAAAGAACCAGCTCTTAGTTTCATTGATCATTTCTATTGTTTTTTTTTTTTTTTTAGTCTCTATTTCATTTATTTCTGCTCTGATGTTTATTATTTCCTTTCTTCTACTAACATTGGACTTTGTTTTTTCTTCTTTTTTCTAGCTCCTTTAAGTATAAGGTTGGATTATTTATTTGAGATTTTTCTTGCTTCCTGAGGTAGGCTCATATCACTATAAATTTCCCTCTTAGAACTGCTTTTGCAGTGATCCATAGATTTTGGATCATTGTGGTTCTATTTTCATTTGTTTCTACGTATTTTTACATTTCTCCTTTGATTTTGTCAATGGTCCATTCATGTTGTTTAATTTCCAGGTTTTTGTGGTTTTCCCCAATTTTTCTTTTGATTGACTTCTGGTTTCACACAATTGTGGTCAGAGAAGATGCTTGATATGATTTCCACCTTCTTAAATTTATTGAGACCTGTTTTGTAAACTGGTGTGATTAATCCTGGAGAATGTTCCATGTATGCTTGAGAAGAGCGTGTTTTCGGCTGCTTTTGGATGGAATGTTCTGTACGTGTCCAGTAAGTCCATTCTCCTGAGTTTGGTGAGTGTCGTTTTGACCATTACTTTTAACCCTTTATCAGGTAGGTTGCTTATCTCCATTTTGTTTGGTTCTTTCTCTGAGGTTTTATCTTGTTTTTTCAATTGGAACATATTCTTCTGCCTCCTCGTTTTGCCTGTGACTCTCTCTGTGTTTGCTTCTATGTATTTAGGTAAATCAGCTCCTTCAGCTCCCAGTCTTGAAGGGGTGGCCTTATTAGGAGATGTCCTGTGGGCCCAGAGGTGCGATCCTGCCTGGCCACCAGAGTCAGGCACTCGAGGGTCCCCTGTGTGGGCTGTGCGCAGCCTCCCGTTGTGGGGGTGCTGCAGCTACTGCTGAGGCATGCTGGTGGGTGGGGCTGGCCTCTGAAGGTCCGCGGGCCCAGCCTCAGCAGCTGCTGGGAACTGGTGGGCAGGGCTATTGCTCAGCTGGCTGTGAGGCCTAGCCAAAGTGCAGGGTGGGCGGGGCTTCATCAGGGCACACCCACTGACACTAACAGGTTAGATGGAGCATTCCAAAATTGCGCCCACCAGCCGGCATTAGCAAGGTAGCCTGAGATCACGGATACGGCTCCCGCCAGAGACTCAGTCCCCAGGGAGTAGCCCACTTGGTTCCCGCCTCTCTGGCAGTTGCTTCAGCGTCAGTAAGTGGGCTGTGAGCTGTTCAGTATTCTTGCACTGGTTTTTAGGTTGAGTGAGTCTGCACGTTCAACTCCACTGAGAGCGGGTTTTCCATTCCCTGTGCTTCTGTAGATTTCCTGCGTATTCTCTGTTGGTTTTCAAAGTCGGGTGTTTTGGGGGCTGGTCTCTCTGAGCGGGATCTAGGGTTGGGGGCTGC